GTGGAATCTTAGGATGGGATTCACAAGTTTGTCTTCTCCTCAGCCAAAGGTAGATGCTGTTCAGTGTTTCATCTCTTTGCTTTTCAGGAGGTGTTCAATGTCTGTACAATGTTCTGGTGAGAATTGCTGTGATACACTGCTCCATGACAACCTGGGTTATGTTTTAATATTTTAATTTTTCCCATTACTTTGTCAAGCCTACTAGAAGTTCACCATTTCCGTTATTTCAACAAGCTTCGCTTGTACCTACTATGTGAAGTCTTTGAATCCACAGAATCAAATCAAAGCTACTCCTTTTGACCATCCAAATTACAAACACACCGACTGTGATGCATTATTTTTAAATTGCCTTTTAAAATTTAGAAGTATTTCCCATTATTTTTGATAATTCCCCATAATGGTCTAAGGACATCTGTTAAAGTATAGAAATTCCATAAACATAGCACTTCTTAGGATTGCTTCAGCAGCAAATTAAAGTTCTCTGTCAAAGTGCTTTTTCTGTTTTAATCACTGTTCTAGGAGTTTTTAGCATCTTTTCCAAAATGAGGGAAAGGCAGGCAGATAGTGAGCTGTTAGGGCTTGTTTTGCCGTGTGTTTATCCTAGCAAACAATCAGTCAATACCTTTTGTGAACTCTTCTATGTTTTTACTGGATACCTCACGGCTTAGTGAGGAAAGGAGCTATACTGTTTTGACATACATTTTTCACATTCTTTGTTCTGCAGCTTGTCCAACGTTTTCGTATGTTGAGTAGCTGTGGCAATTTCTTTGTGTGTCTGCAAACATTTGCATTATTGTTAAGCCGTTGGGTCTACTAATGAGGAGCTGGAGTGGGAGGCAGAATGATGTATTTACTATGTAGGATTCCCTGCAGAGCTGAATAGTAGCTTCGTGGGGGCCTGTAAGTAGACAACCAGCCCGGAGCGTCCTTAAAAGAGCCCCAGAAATAGAGCCACAGCCCGGAGCAGAGTGGGATCTTCCACCAGGGGAGGTTCAGGTTGGATATTAGGAGGAATTTCTTTACAGAAAGGTTGTCAGGCACTGGTACAGGTTGCCCAGGGAGGTGGTTGAGTTGCCATCCCTGGATGTGTTTAAGAGATGGGTGAATGTTGTGCTGAGGGACGTGGGTTAGTGGTGTTGATAGGGCTGGGACAAAGGCTGGACTCAACGATCTGGAAGATCTCTTCCAACCAAAAACTGTTCTATAGTCTATGATCAGTGTCCTGCAAGGAAAATGCTTGAAATAAAACTGAAGCAAACAGGAAGACATGCAGAAGGGAAAAAAAATGCATCCTATTCCCATCGATGTCTCTACCTCAGTTTCTCCAGCAAAACGATCAAAGGAACCACTGGAAAGAAACAAAAATAGTGTCAGAAAAGGGGTGGTCACTGGTTTAATCTGCAGAGTTGCATGGGAAGTTAAATCAAAGGCTGTAGTCCAGTGCAGTGCCGCGGGATGGCTCTGATGGACGTGAGCTGGGACGCTGCTAACACAGCACAGTTAACAGAGGCTTGTGTTAAAGGAGGGTGAAGTCATAACAGCCAGGTCTGGGCACAAAGAGCAAGTCCCTGGCACCAAGCGGGTTGGGAACAGCATCTCCTCCTGCAAAGGGAGGTGTGGAGAAAGTGTTGTTATGTTTGTGATGGGAGGAAGAAGAACAAATGACAGAGGAAGAGATTTCTCAGTACAACCGATAGAATGCAGGCAGTGAAATGTGTCGGGTTATTGTGTGATCGGCAGTATCAGATGCATTTTATCTCAAATATACTTTTATGAAGAATTGAGTTGAACCTTGTGGAGAGAAACAGGTAGACAAAGAGAAAATGTTTATTTTCCATTCTTTTCTGAACCCGAAAGAATACTTAATGCAATTTTCCATTCAATTCTATTTTCTACACATCAGTTCCAAGAGTAAAGTATATTTATTTCTTTAATATTATTTATCTGGAGTGATTCGGAACTGGACTGTTGCATATTATACTTCAAAAATGTAGTGTGTCTCATACCTACAGTGTTACAATTAGTCAGACATGCTTATTTATTGCATGCTGATATCTAACTCTAGGTCTATCAAGTGTTATGGCAGTTTATGAGAGTATTACTTCACTACATAATTATTTTTATTGTGGTGACGATGCCATATGGATCTAGATTTTCACTTGCTCATGTGCATCAGAATACTTAATTTTGTGTCATGCTAACATGGAAGTTAAGTGAAAGGTTTTGTCTTTTCACTTATAGTTTCTAACTGGTTTAAGACTTTTTTAGTGCTTTAATTTTTTTTTCTGTGTGATTGAAGGAAGTTGGCACCATCACCCAGCTTGCAACAGAGGAAACATTTTTTTAAATATTCAGTGTGTAAAAGATGTCAATGTTGTTACCTTTGTAAACAGAAAATGATGGACAGAAAATCTGTAGAATTTTCAGCAAAAGGGAGTATTTCTTTCAGCTCTTTTTCATTTCTTAATGGAAGAAGAATTATGGAAATGAGAGCAGGCATTGCATTAAGTGCTTGAAATGTTCCTTCCCTGCAGACCAATAAAAACATAACTCTTCCATTAGGGAAATTTAGTTTTTTGAAGGCTGCATGAATCTGAGCCCTGAATCAGTGAATGAGATGACTGTGCTGGGGTAAGCACTTCAAGGTCTGATTATGTATTTTAAGTCTTTCGTAGGTGGATACCAGCTCTTAGCTTGTCTTGTAAGACTTATTTGGAGCAACTTCTATGACTCTTTTTATATTAACTACTTGGCTTATCTCGTAGTACTTGGGTAGTGCATTCTCCTGTTACGCAGATCAGTAAAAGAGTTGCAGAGCCATGAGGATTGAATAGTTTTTCCTGCTTGATTTTTGGTTCCTTTTCAGAACACTAGCTACTTGCATAGCACCATGAACTGAAGTCAGACAGTGCAAGTCAAAAATGTGACCTCTCTGTGCTTCATGTGGTGTGTTTATAGTGATTATAGTCTCGCCTGTGATTGTAGATCATGCAGATTGTAGATATCTGCCTTTAAAATAACCTTCATGTTTAAGTGTGAGATAAAAATGCAGCAGGAAACTGCTGTCTCTGGGGGTGTTCAGATTAGGTCCCTGATCAGGGTTGTGAAGAATTAATACCAGAGCAAGTGGGTGTTGAAGCGGAGTCATCAGGTTTTTTCTGTGCTGTTAACCATAATGTAGTCATCCACGTTATTGTTTAGGTTCTAGAAGCTCACAAATAAAAATTAATATTAAAAAATCAAAATAATTACCAGTCATTACCATTGCTCTTTACTTCTAACTTATTAATCATATTTCAGTTTCCTATACTGTATTACTTGAGCTGTCAAATATATCACAGAGGTATATAAGGGTGATTTGTTCTCTTTATGAGGAGGGAGAGACACCAGGAGCTTCTTAAACTTGTTCAAGGTCTGGAAATTATTGTTGAATTCTTTTATTATTTTTATTTAGTTGTGAATAGTCTGAATGTAGTCATAATGGTCTAGTTATAATTGTTCAAATAAATCCTGTTTCCCCATTTTTTGCTGAAGGGCTGATCCTGTGGGTGTGCACAGCACAAATAGTTAAGGCAACATATGTCATTATTACGAATATTTGGTCACATGTGGAGCTGGGTTTTGGGGTTGGTGGTTTTTTTGAGGTTTGTATTCTGCAAACACTGCTGGAAATTGTTTACCCATCAGTAGAAGGGTTCTTAAAGCTCCAGTTCATCACACGACTCCCAGGAGTGCATTCCTGTGCTCCTGTTATGTTTTATATGCAGACAACCTTGTACTTCTGCCATGATCCAGAAAAATGGCATCCATGCAAATATTAGTTATGTTCTTTATAAATTCAGGAAGCAAGGAGAAAACATGCTCGATGTACACAATCCTCTATCCCCATCCTGATTATTCATTCCTGATGGAAAGATTTTGAAACACTGGAAAAATACTCCGTTGGAGGAAGCACGTGGACATCAAGTTTTCAACTCCTCACTGATTTTCCTGCTATTTTATCCCCTCCACTGATCCTATGGCTTAGTTATTTGATGTATTTAGTCAGCTGCCCGCTTTAGACATGAAGAGATACTGGCAGTGAATTTCCACCTTGCACAGCAGATTTTTGATTGAAGTTGGGGTCACCCTGTGCTAGTGCCGTAGGTGGCTAATAGCCCGTGAGAAACCAGCCGTGTGGACTGGGGCTGCCTGTAGAAAACACGAGTTCCCAGGTGTCTTGAATGTGTTTGCACACAGAAGGAGCCAGATGGTTATCTCTGTGGGTTTTCCTTGGCTTCACTCTGCAGGAGAAATACCTGAGATGAATGCTGCCAGGTAGCTGTGTGGCTCCTGTGCTTTAACAGCTGCTCTATCTCTTCCCTCAAAGGTATATTTCAAGCACAAAAATGAAAAATGGGTAGAAATCTGTATGGTCAAATCGTGTATCTCCAGACCCAGTGGGATGGGTCTGGTCCCAGGTTGGCATCCCAGTCTGGAACGTGGTAGTGATACGAGCCAGATGGTTCGTAAGTGCTTTGAGATCAAAGGCACTTTCTACATGTTAATAAGATTTTCTCTTTTGCAGCCTTTGGGCATGGCTCAACTCCTTTGGCCCTGTCGTGGGCAGCCACAGTCACCCAGTGGAGTCATCTCCGGCTCTGTGAGATATATTGCAGATTTGACTGCTGCAGTCAGCCACCCTCCCAAAACACTGTGACCTTCGGGAAGCTTAGGTCAGGTCCTATATCACCTGCACATTTTAAAATAATGGATTGGTTGGCTTACACAGGCAATAAAGCTCAAGGCTAGTCTCTGGGACATTTTCTGGGCCAAACAGAGGTGTGGACTATGGTTTTATCCTGGACAATAACAGTGAATGCAGGGTCTGCACCTCAACCACACGCCCAAGCTTGAGGCCATTGCCAGCAGGCGTTAGGCAAAGGTCCAGGGGTCTCAAGGAGGCTGGTGCTGGGCAGCTGTCCTCATCTCACATGCTGGTTCTCATGATCTCATTCCAGGGCAACCCACTGTACTTCCAGTCTGCCAGAAATGTGACAGTGAACATCCTCAATGAGAAGACTAAAGTCCTTACTCGCCTTGTAACAGGTAAGGAGGAGGAAAGGCTGTGTGGGAGAATGAAGGAGGGATGAAAGCGGGTCTGTTGTGGGATGCTGCATTGGCTTTAGACAGCACACAGGAGGAGAGCCCAGGTGTCTTGTGAAGTACAAATGAAAACTTTGCTCCGCTTTGTAGAGGCAAAGCTGGAGACATGAAAGCTGTTCTGGAGAAGCAGCTGGCTGAGGCAGCTGGCTGGTGCTTTCTGGTAACGAAGCAGACCATTGTTTTCATTTTAAACCCAATCCAGAGACAGAAAGGTTAGTTATACATCTTGAGGGTCAAGAAGAACATATGCAGGCTGACATTTCTGTTGTAACAGGCACAGACTTTCCTGAGACGCTTTTAACTTGTCTGAGATCTTGGGTACTCTGCAGATTAACTGTGGCTGGGTTGGGACGCTTTGCAATTTAGAGCTCTCTCTGATGAAGAACGTTCTCATGTTCCCAAGCATGAGTGTGTTTGATGGGGAAACGGGTGTTTTGTAAATCCCCAGTGTACAGCAGCCTTTGAATGTATGCATGGTAATTTGGGTTGAAAGAGCCTAGTGCATGTGGTAACATATAATATATATGATATAGGATAGATATTTATTTGTTGAGATTTATCATGGGACCAGGGGAAGTATTGCTGTGTAGCAGAGCCAATAATCCATAAACACATTGTTTCTACATGAGACCAGGTTGTTTGGTTTGCTCGGCCTCTAGTCACAGTATTAAATAATTAAATATGCAGCTTTAGTAAGCAAAGATTTCAGCAGCATGCATGAAAATTGCCTGAAGGAAGGAATAAATTCAACCTCAACCTCCCTGATTCTCACATTCAGAATGAACATGTTCAGTTTGTTGGTTCTCCATATTTTCATATTTGATTCACTTATGTGTTACAAGAGCTTGGGAGGATGCGGTCAGTGATGTCTCCCGATGTGGTATCTGGGTTAATTGATCTGATTTCTGCATTTGTCAGCAGCTTTGGTTTCAGAGCAGAGCGAAGATGTGGTCCTGTGTAGTGCATGCTGCAGTGTGGAGCAGGGAGGCGGTTAATTAGCAAGATACAAATCATAGAATGTCTTAGGTTGGAAGGGACCTTAGAGATCATCTAATCCAACCTCCCTGCCTACTGGATTTTCTCAGTATGGCTGCAAGATTTAGAAGTGTTTCCAGGGATCTTAGCATAGCCTCACTTTTCTGTAGTGCAAGCCTTGCACAATTCTTTGTGTGCCCTGTGACAAAAAAATTGGCCTGCACAGGCAAACATGGGTATACATGAAGTTAGAAACTACATATCAGCAAAATACTGTCTCTCAGGTCTTATTTTTCTTGTCTTCTGAGAAATGAGACTGGTCATGAAGATGGCCAGAAATAATGCAAAATCCAGTCACCTGCCACGTGCAGCGGCAGTTTCCAGTGACTGAGTTGCGGGGGGCTGTTAGGTGGTGATTCATTCCAAATTCAGCCTGCGTTGGTAACCAGGGGCTCTGCTCTTCGTAGCCTTTGAGCCACAGACCTGCACAGCATTGCTATTCAGGCAGTTGATGTTTACCAGGCTCCACAACAAAAGGCATTGCCAGAGGCTTTCCAGCACCACCGTGCACAAGAGCCTGCAGGAGAAGCAGGAAAATTGGAATGAGAGCCACGAAGGAAAGTTTTACTGGCCTAAAAACTTTCTGAGACATGAGCAAGACTGCCATTGTCTTGGCGTGCACATGCTTAAAATGGTCTAAAAGAAAACATTTGCTCCTGTCGTGATGGTTGTCTTTTTTTTTCCCTTCTTTATATTGAACTGTGCATGACACTGGTATTATTTTAATCCAGGTGTATTTAACAGGCAGAAAACCAAGAATCTTTTACACTGCAGTGTCAGTTCGAGCTAAATGGAGTCAGGAGCTCTTGATGCCTCTTAGAGCTGCACCAATACTCTCAGAGCATGGCTGGGTATTGTCAATGCTATGTCACATGTGTGTGTGTCTTTTTTTTCTAATGGGAGGTCACCCTCTGAAAAGCTGTTTGATGTGTCAGATGCAGGTTGTATCTGCGGAGCTATTAGGGTGATCTCAGCAGATGGGTTTGTTAAATGTATGAAGCTACTGTGTGTTTTTCTTAGGCTTTTCACTAAATGGTTGTGCTAAATCTCTTCTCTCTAGGTCCCCAAGCAGTGGAAGCACACAGCCAAAAATTTGAGGTGAAAACCCTCTCTGGAAAATTGCTGTTTTCTGCAGATGACAATGAAGTGGTGGTTGGAGCAGAGAGATTGAGAGTTTTAGGTAAAGATTATTCACTAAATCACTGGTATAATATGTGCCTCTTCAAATTTAAGTGTAGTTTTGCCTGACTTCCCTTCATGCTTGTGGAAAGCTTCTTTTGAAGTTAGTGCCTTCCTTTTGCTGTCTTTTGCTTTGAATCTTCCTGAAGCAGATAACAGCCAGGAGTTTCAATCTGAGGGGTTTCTTAATTTACACAATGTGTTATTTCCCCTCCAGAGAAAACCTCCCCTGGAAGTGGTTGGTCTGGCTCAGTGGTTGGTCTGGCTTTAAAACCAGCTTTGGAGACTGAACCACTTCATCTCTTGGGTCTGGGGTGAAGGACAATGAGCGATCGCTCTAAGGATGCTTCCATGGCTGCTCTCACTGCGTGGGGAAACCTCAGGCTTCATGTTTTTCATTGCCCCACTTTCACCAGCTCCTCCTCTATTCTAACACTGAGGAGGAGACCTGCAGTGAAAAAAGTCAACATGAATTAGGACCCCACGTTAATCCTCTGGAGAGTTTGGTGGCTTTTATAGTAGCTGTCTTTCCTTAGCCACATCCAAGAGCATGTTGTGCATCTCTGAGCCACCTTCAGCTACGTTGTAGGTAGTGTTAAGTGTCCTGTGCATGGGAGGAGAGGCCAATCTTACCAGTGCCACCACTTCCCCATTTGCCTTTCGAGACATGGGGTAGCTTGAGCTCTCCTTCTGCCTGTGCCTCCCCAGCTGTCCTGCCCGTGAGGCTTTGCATCAGTAGCTCCTAAGAAAAACTGGGGATACCCTTTGGGTTTGGAGAGTTGGGGTTGTTTATTGTTTGGGTATTTATTTATTTATTTATTTACTAATTAGATAAAAGAAAGAGTTACAGTAATTGTAAAATTTTAAAATGTATTGGATAGTTATATGAAATTACCTCTTGGGAACTTGAATTCTCTTGCTCTCCAGTTCGATCTGTGCACTTTGGTTAGTCTGAGATTTGCTCGTGGATGTTTTCATACAGGACTGGACTGGCTAGTTCACTGCTGTCAGCAGTTAGTCACGTAGTAGTGTCACGGGTCTCTGTGAGTGCACTGATACCTGTGTTCTGTTAGCTTGAGCTAGGGGCATCTGTTCACTCCAAATTGTTCCTTGCTTCTCTGGTAAGCTCCTAAAAACAGGAAGATCAATGAAGGAGCTTGGATGATATATCGTATTTTTAATTATTATTTCTACATATTACATACTGCGTTATCATGAGTGCCTCAGAGTCTAACCGTCATGAATAGGACCTTGTACTCAATCCTTCACATTTTTTGTTACCTGATGTCATGCCGTCCTAGGTGGTTCCAGTTTGAGGTCAGGCCAAGGTGTAGCTCTTTGCAGGTCACTCTTGTTACATACTGGACTAGTTCGGTCACCACCTATACAAAGTTAGTTGAGTTTTATAGGATAAATGTTGAACATCAGTAAATCAACAGTATCTTTTTTAGCTTGAACCTTTGAAAAGGACCATTCAAAATTCTTGCAGTGTTACAGAGCTGGAGAGCATTTGTCACAATCCATGTTCTACCATAAATCTACCTTTGCACTGCACCCTTCAGAGCTAATTAATTGTACAGTCCTTGTACAACAATTTTTAAGTGTTTTCTTGGAGACCTTAAATGAGAGAGATATATATCATTGATTCTCAACAAAAAATATAGAAACTTCTCCTTACAAGTTGTGAGTATTCCTTTTCAGATTACATACTTTAAAAAAATATTGCTTTTTATTTACTTTGTGCTTTGGAGAAGCCAGCAATTATTTTTCATAGTTACTTTGAGTTTCTGCCTTATTTTAGTTTCCAGAATAAACAGCATCAAAAATACTGCTAACCACTGCGGTGCACTTTAATTTTTATCTGCAACTGAGTGTTTCTCTGTATTTATTTGGCCTATGCAGATCTGTCAGAAAAGGTAGAATGATATTACTGGTGATGCTATGTGGCAAGTATTTCAATGACCTTGAGCTGAAGTGCTTTCAGAGTTCATAATTGGCTTTGTTTTTCTCCAGCTTTGCTTCCTGAATCTAATTTTATCTCCAAAAGTGTTTGCCATGGCTGTTAGCCATGCTGGGAAGTGTTACACCATATGCTCATATTTCTTCCAGTGTTTTTGTCTGCACTTGAGACTAGTCCAACGTGTAGTACACAGAAAAATTTATTTGATCATTTTTTGTGGTGTTTGGGATCTCAGGTGCTGTTGGTATGTGTCTGCTGACACGTGTCTGCACTATGTAAATAATCCCAACTTGTTCTTGTTGCTGAACACATACCTGTTACAGAAGGAAATGTACATCTGCAATCTGGCATGAAAGTCATCTCACAGAGATTAGAGCGTCAGTTATTGGGCTTGTGGCTAGCTTGTAATCTTGCTAATGATAATTTCTTTATTCCTTTGTACATTCTTCAGTTTATTCTGAAAGTTTGTTCTACAAAGTAACGCTGAAGCTTGTCATGAGAAAAGAGGTGATTTCCTGTTTTGAAATGGGCTCTGGTCTGGGTAGCTAAACAATTTTTCAACATTAGCAAGGCATTAAAAAAAAAGAGAGGAATACACAGAATTATGGTTAAAAAGCAAATACAAGTAGGACATGCGCTGCGTTTGACGGTGCTTCAAAAAATTGCACAGCATGGGTAGTACAGATTACCAAATGAAAGCACTTTTTATTTTAGTTTGTATTTTGGGGATTTATTTTTGTTTTATTACCGTTAAAGGACACAGAAAGATGGAGTTTTTCCCTTCTGCTTTTCACACATGATGTGATTTACAGTAGTACAACAATTTTATTTGATTTGGTAAATCCAGTCAAACCTGTTGTCTTAGGAGAGCTTGGAGGGAGCTTCTGTTTGAGGACAAGGGCAGCTCTCTGAGCCTTTTGGCCGTGGTCAGCTCTGATAACAGCTACACAACATTTTCCAGACTCAAGCACGAGTTCCCTCTGCCTTGCTCGGAGCCAGCCCAGAGCTCAGCAGCTGCAGTGGTCCAGATGACTCAGAAGGAGCTCATGTTTGCCCTCAAAAAGTCATGTAGAAACTGAGCCTAATGCCAAATCTGCTCTGCCCTTTTTGTTCCAGTGCCTGCAGTTACCCAGCCACTCTGTGGTTGGGTCGGATGGCAGCACATCCTCGCTGTTAGCACCCCTTTCTTTTACAAGCTTCACTCCTGCAGTATTTGAGCACCTCATGGTCTTAGAAAAGACACTGCAGCAAACTCTGGAGTCGTTCTCATTCCTCAGAGCCGCGACTCTGGTTTTGCAAGGTTTAGCTTTTGGAGGCAAAATCCACCACTTCTCTGCCTG